TTGATGCGTCGTAAATTTTCCGACGGTATTTCACTGTATATATATTTAGAAACTATTTCTTTTAAGCTAAGATAATATTCTAACTTCGGTTCAGTGAATGGAACAATTGAATCACTAAGAAACTTGTTAACATTTAATAGAACATGTTCTATTATATTCTTTATAAAATTCTGTAAATTATTATTTTACGAAAACTACGTTAGGTGGGTCAGGGACGCTCCACAGTAATACTAAAATAATTTTCATTAATTGTTTTTGTTTATAAATATTTATTTTCTTTAGGAAATCCTTTCTGCCCCTCGAGCGATTCGAATTCCGCGCTGCTCCCGCCGCTAGTACTCTGCGCGGCCGGAGAGGGCAGTGCGAACCAGGTGCAAGCCATCGATGGAGTCCAGTGTACATATATAGTACCGCCATCGTGAGTCCGCGAGCTCCTATCGAAGATTCGTTGCGCCGCCCTTGGGAGCAAAACACCGTGAAAGCTAACGTACGAAACCAGAGGGCAGCATAGGATGCGATCGTTCGATCCTGCCCATGAGCAATCTCCCAACTCCTCTCTGATTCTCTGCTGGAATCGACCTTGCCTAGTACGAGTCGTGACGCCGTAAACGCCGTAAACTCGTAACTGCTCGTAACTTGAGGAGCGGTCCAGAGCGGTCGCATAGAATGCGACTTCAACTCCGACCTGGAACCGAATTCGGGTCGGCCGATTTATTCGTCCGATGCGAGTCAATCGAGTCTGGGATTTGTTTCCTTTTCCTATCGATCCAAGGCATGAGCACGCTCCCACGGAGGGACGAATCTCGGCAGCTTTGAGGTTATGCCGACCTCCAGATCCTGCCGATCCTGCCGATCCTGCCGATCCTTGGGACTCCTCGGAAAAGGATACTTCCTCTCGATAGCACACCGAAGCCTTGAAAATAAAGATAACTGCCAGTGGATGTGTACTGGGCTACGAAGGTGTTAGCGCGTCTCGTAAGTCGTGAACAGCGCTTTTCGTCTATCGCGATGTCACTCGGTTTCGATCGAATCGCCGAACTCTCCAGGACCGACTCTTCGTTTCATCCTGCCACCGAGATTTTGGATACGACGGCTTATCGATCGTTAATAATATTCCTAGTTATCGCGTTCAGGATATACATTTTGCTGGCTAAGTCATGCTCCTTGGAAATACCGATACTAGCTCACTGTGCTGTAATTATTTATCAGCAAAATCTGATGGCTAATCGGTGTAATGAATTTAAGACGGAGCTCTAGCGTAGGTACAATCGATTGAACGCGGTAAGACTTCTGTTCGGGCAAAGAACATGATTGCTCTTAATTTTCTTGCTTCTAGTCATTAAAATTTTCCTCTTTTCAGCCATAAGACGAAAGAAGATAGAACGACGAGGATGAAGCGTAACGGCGCTCGACTCTTTAAAAATCCTCCGCAACCTCACATGTGCATTCAAGATTATATACAGGTATGCCATTGATATTTTTTTCTTATGCATTAGATAATCGGTCTCATGTTGTTAACGAATTTTTATGAATGAACAAGACCAAGAATATGTCATGGTCTTTGCAGGGTACGTCAACTCCATGTTACGTTAATGTACTGTCTTGGGGTAAAATTGGTATGCCACTCGATCCTTCTCAACCAGTGCCGTTATACGGAGGTATGAGAGTATCACCTCCTCGGACCATGGAAAACACGGAGGCTATCGTATTTGCTGTGATGGCAAATCCAGAGGTTCTTCGTTTAAATGGCAAGAATGCTCGAGATCCTAAGGTAATGCAAGCACGTACCCTCTTCGGTAATCAAGTACCGTCTGTAAATTTGAATTAAATCGAAGGGAAGTATTATTCCCCCTTTAATTTCTAGGAGCGTTCGACACTAATCGAACTCCTTTTGGACTTTGTGGAGGCAATGAACGAAGGGACCATCTTCTCTCGACGTTACACGATTCTAAAAGATCGCGACATAACCGGAGAGTTGAAGGAGGTGTGGTCAGCCGTACAAGCGAAACGAGATAAGGAACAGAGCCAGCAAGCTCAACAAGAGCAAGTTCGTCAAGAAACGTGGATAGACGTTCAACCTCCGTCCACGCCTCGGCATCCTCGATACCAAGAACCTCCACGGGCACCTTCTCATCAAGAATACACAAATCAGCCACCAAGATATCACTCGAGAATCACATATGGTAGGGTCGAGTCCGGACAGTCTACCGGCTACGACGGTTACGTGCAACAGGCATTGAATCCCACCCTGCAGAACGAGCAAATGTTTCAACCAAGGCAACCAATGGCGCAACAGTATCACGGAAACATTTCTCAAGTGGCTCAAGATCGATACAATTACAGGGAACGTGGTGGTAGACAACAAATAGGTGCTCCCAATCCTGCAGCGGTACAGCAAGCTGGTTGCCCAGCGTATCCAGCACCACAGTATTTCTTTCAGCAGCTTCCGAGGCCGAATTTAACAGGGCACTACGTAGCATTGCAACAGCAGATGATCGGGCAACGACAACTAGAAAAGGCAATGCGTTCGTACATTGGCCAGATGCAACATCAGCAGCAACAGCAACAACCATCGCCACCGTCACTGGCCCAGCCGCAACAGACACACGTGAACCATATACAGCCAGGGCCAGTCATTCCACAGTATGAATCGTCGTTGTCGTTCAATGTCCAGCCTTCGCAGCCTACCCCAGTGAACGTTGTTCGATTAGGAAGGCCACATATGGGAGTCGCACAAAAGAGCAACGTCGTCGGCAAGAGGCAAGCAAACTCACCGACTCATTCGAAACAGGCATCGAGTGCGGACTATCCGGAAACGAGCACCAAGTCGAAGAGTCCGGTTAAGGTTCTACAAAGAGAACCGCTGAATCCAACGCAGCTGTTGTCCGCGGATAAGGACGGCGAGACCGTCGAGGGCGGCGGCGAAACCTCGGTCGTTCGAGTGACCGATTTGGACGAAGTTCAAATTGGGGGAAAAGATCTCGCATCGGTAGAATCGGTGGAGCGAGATATCGATGAGAGCTCCGACCTACGAGGGGATGGAAACGAGCGAATCGACGTCGAGGACACCTCGACGAGGTGCCCTCGCGAAACCAAGGAGGAGAATTCGATCGAATACCCTGCCGGTGACAATGACTCTTCCAGGACGAAAATCGTGGTACTCAAGAGAAACAAGTCCGGGAGCGAGTCGAAATGGACCACGAAGGAGCCGAAGGTCGTAAAAAACGGAAAGAAGCCCGGGGAGCAAACGGTCGATCTCGTCGAGGACGAGAGACAGCCCAAGAAAACGGAGCCGAACTCGGAGAACCGACCGAGCGATCGAGCGATCGACCTCGCCGAGGTCGAGGCCAAGAAAGTGACCGGTTGCGAAGGTCGGAATGGATTATCGAACAAAAGGAAGCCCGAGAGTCCGAAGCGACCACAGACGGTGAACAGCATCATCAAGAGCGTTCTCAAGATTCACCCTGGCGGGGGTGGAAGCGGAGGGACCGGCTCTTCCGTCGACGGCACCTCCAAAAGGAAATCCGCTCAGGCGAAAGCCAATACCAAAGCGACGAGCGAACACGAGGACTCCTATCAGGGGTACACCATATTGAGAAAAGCCGTCGAGACCTCGCGGGAAGACGTCGCGAGCGAGATCTCGCAGATTTCCATTCAAGCATGCAAAGACACGACCGAGGTCGGTGCCGTACTCTCGTGATAACTTAGCAGGTACTAAGAGGTTGCGTCGCGGATAAGAGATACGAACGAACCGATGTACATAGATAGATTATCTAGTAAGAACGAGTGTTAGATGAGGCTGCAAGACGAGGAGCCGAAACCCGGTCCTGGCTCGAGTTAGACCTCGACGGCCTAAGTCGACGTGTGCTGCGAGTGTCCGCAAGTGTCCACGAGTGTCCACGAGTGTCTACGAGTCTTCGCTTCTCCGCCACGATCGAGAGGACTTCGCCGGCGCTGCCTGCGCGCGCGAGGACGCGTGTGGAAGTAAAAGGCGCTAATGAAATCGCGCCGTGCTTTATTAGATCTAAGTTGGAAAGGACCGAGTCGAGGACGCGCTTGGGAGCCGTTTCGGTGAACGCGCTCACCTTGGACGCGTTCCTCGACGCCGTTCGTAGCCATCGCTACTCGTGGTCGCGCCGAGCGCGATGCGCTAACTCGCGAAACAATTCCTCGAGCCGCCGAAGCGCGGCGGCAAGCTTTCGCGAGGTCGCGAGAAACTCGCGAATCGATGCACCGTTTCTTCCTCTCGGAGTGCTTCGTAAATGCCGGACTCCCACGGAGTGCGAACCACAGTTGTCAGCGACTCTAGCGTGTTTGCCTGCATACACGGATTAATCACACCAGTAAAAAACGTTAATAGCATTGTTTTATCAATTTTAACTTACTTACAAGTTCCTTAGTCGGCGAAGATTGCGTTATTCTGTCTCTGCGATGACGTGATTACGAGTAAAATGTCGAACAGGTTTGATTTATTCACGATTGCTTCATGTCGCGATGATCTTGAACGCAAGCTCCACGACGGTGCGTTCGTGTGGAACGTGTACGAAAGCGCTGTTCGCGTGTTTCACGTCCCGTGGGAACCTAGCATATGACGCGCGATTCGTGTATATGGAGGTGATTTCCCTTCGCTCCCTTAGCTAGGTAACGCCGGCCATATCGCCCCCGCTTCTTCGAGGGCATCGTCGGCTCGCCCTGGGGCCCGTCCGCGAGGGTCCATGTCGAAGCGTCGCCTCCGACCGCGTCGGAGCTCGACCGATCTTCCTCCGCTAATTGTTAATAGGAACGTATTCGATATCTTCGTTACTTCTAGGCCACGGTCGTCGTTACCACGATTCCCTGTGCCTATAATGCCGTAATGTAATCTATTATTCCATAATACAGGTTTTTTTCCAAACTCACTGGGTCTCCTCGGCGAGAAAACCGAGACGCGACGTCGGGCCTCGGCGGTTCGCTTTCTCCTCGCGTACCCATCTTTCCTTTCGGCATTCTTTCGGCACGACGGTTCCAGTCATTAGCTTCTAGAAAGCTTTCCCCTCTCGCACCTGCGGCGCTTTCCCCAGCCGCGAGTGGCAGTCGCGTCGCGGCTGCTCCCGGGACCGTCCGTCGACCGCTTCCTCGTCGCGTTGGCGTCGGTCGGCGTTGATCGCCAGCGGACCCGGGACCCGTCTCTTAGACGCTAACCGGCTCGCCAGGTGGAAGGGGAGTCCCTTTCTCCCGAGAGGAGCCGCGCCCCGCCGGTCGCTCTCTTGGCGGGATCTCCGCAGAGTTTCTCGTCCGGACGCGGTTTCGGCTGCTGCCGTAGCGGCTTCCTCGGGTTGCCAGACGACGCTTGGACGCTCAACGACCACGATGGGCCCAGGTCAGCGTTCCGGTTCGTGAGTAGATTCCGACCCCGGCGTCTCAGGAAGTAACCTTGTATGGCGGAGTCGATGCTCGCGGCCCATCGGCGATTCCGCGGCCGCTCCTCCGTACAGGTGTTTCCCGAGTCGCCGGGTCCGAATACCGATTAGCGTCCGATCTTGTCGGCGTCGCGTTCCAGTCTTGTCGGGCTCAGAAGGGCGGCCTCTTTCATAGACCGGTTGGCAGAGGAGGTGCGAACGGAGAAGAGACTCAGGATGCTGATGACCGAGGGCCCCAAGGAGACGGCCGACCTGGAGGCGACCAACCTCGAGCTGCCGGAGTATTATGATCCTCGGAAGTTCGACCTCGGCCAGCGAGCCTTTCGCGACAACGTCTTCACGATGATGGTGGCCAAACTCGCGGGACTCCTTACCCTGCTGGCGGTGCCGTCCATCCTCGAGATCCTCGTTTTCACCAAACAAAGCGGCACGCCCTGCGCCGCGTTCAGGAGATACGTCTCCACGATTCTTCACACTTTTGTGTGGTACAGGAGGGCTCCCAACAAGCGGAGCGAGTGAGTATAAGAGGGTGGTTTAGGGCCGATTGCATCAACATTAGAATTAAAATCCATAAGGTGGCGCGAAAGTAGCGTGAGAGATCTCGTTTATGAATTTTTTCTTCAAATTAGATGCACTGAATCTTTTTACTCTTTACTATATGACTATGGAGGCTATGAGGAAGGTCCAACACGCGCATTTCTATTTTTTTTTTATTTAATTTATTTACACACTTTTTAAATTTTGGATAAGAAAAATAAAATTTCACGAGTGTCAGGACCGTCTTACAGCCTCCATATTCACGTTGTAAAGTTTGAAATTATTTGATACACCCAGTTTGGTGAAAAGTTTCACAAGTCTCATCTGCAGTAATCGCGGATTACTTAACGCATGAGTAGAGTTAATCACCCGATTTCGGGTAGTTACCTGCCAGCGGATTTTAATCTTCAGTTGGATTAATTTTAATCGGTGTAATGCGAATTTCATTGATCCTAGATGAACTAATCATGGTTAAGAAATTTCACATTAATCACGGTTGGTGCAACCAGCTCATAGGGTGGGAAAGGAAGATGCGCTAATTGAGGAGGTGGTGGTTGTTTTCAGGTTCTTCGACTCCCTAAGGAACGTCAGGAAGAAGCACTGCGTTGTGTCGAGGAGATGCTCGGAGGCTGGCCTTGGCAGGATCTCCCAGCTGGACATGGCGTTGACGCAGTTCGGATTCATAGGGTTTGTTTTACTGAGCGGCGACCAGTTGGGGGTTGCCGCGTCCGAAGAGGAGCTCGAAGGACTGGTCCACCTCTGGAGGATCATAGGCAACCTGCTGGGCATGGAGGAAAGGTAGCATGGGCACGGTGGAGGTTGTAAGCCCCCCTGAATCGGTTGTCGATTTTTCCTTCAGGTTCAACCTTTGCAATGGCACCGTCAAAGAAACCAAGGCGCTCTGCGAGCGTCTTCTGGACGAAGTTTTCCTGCCCTGTCTGGCCTCGAGAAACACGGAGTTCGAGAGGATGGGTCGAATCCTCCTTCAGGGTCTGTGGCCGGTCAACCCTCACCTCGACCCTGACGCTTTCCAGGCCTTTACTCTTCATCTAGCCAGCTCGTCCACGAGGAACAATAATCACTCGATCTGCATAGGTAGGTCCCGCGAAAGCGCCAACGAGAGCTCGGACGACTTCGTAACTCGACGTTAATGCTTTCAGACAAGTCCTCTATGGGATGGTACAGCAGATTCATGCTGGAGTTTCAGCTGTTCGTACATCACTACCTGATGCCGAAAGCGTATCGCTGGTCGGTCTTCTTTCGCGCCTTCTTCAACGCTCAGACCAGACTTTCCATATACCTGACGGAGAAGCTACCGTTCCTTGCCTACTGGACCTTCGGCAGAAAGCGATCGCACGTCGACATTTACAAGCTTCGTTAGGACTGAGGGTTCCAGCCGCACAGTAGTCGGCGTCGATTGGCGTCGGTCGACGTCGCTTCCACCGACCGCCTACGTGTCTCGCCTCGTCCTGTGATTTTCTCGTGCACTGCCTTTAACTCGAGTACAATAAATTTGACACCGGTCACCGCCATTCACCGTTCGTTGTCTCTGTCTTGATATCTCGCGTGTCCCGTGTTCCACGGATACGCCCCAAGTGGACAGATGTCCTAGACGTTGCCGGGGCAATAAACTCGGGCAAAAAGGCGCGGAGTAGACTCAGATAGAACTCGGTGTTCCTCCCTGTCATAAATTCTGAAAAAAAATATCCACGCGCCGACATGTACGTCTACGAGTAACTCTCCGACAGTGGCGCACCACTCGCTGCGAGTCCATTGTTAGAGATCGACTCTCGCGTGAACACGTAGCTTTACAGCTCGAAGGAGAAAAGACGAAGTCGGTGGCGAGCGTTGCCTCCGTGGAGGCGCCGAGAGACAAGGCCGAGTCGACTCGTCGAGGAGTTCGGCAGAGATCCGCAAAGTTCGGCAAGGTCGAAGGCACTCGAAAAAGAGTGCGGGAAAGCAATCCCCTCCGTCCGCCGGATGAGGGGTTCTTGGGAGACGCGGTCCGGCCGCGGGGTGGCCATCGGCCTGGCCGCCTTCGAAACGAAGAGGTTGATCCTCCTGGCCTTCGAGGTGCTCGTCGAGGGCCGGATGATCCGCTTTGCGGGGGGCCTGCGGCCGGTGGCTCTGAGTGTCGCGGCCTCCTTCGTCGGCCTGCCCTGCGCCCTGATCGCGGCTTGGTCTATCGGCGACGACTCGATCTGCGGGTAAGCGGCTTTTCGGCTTTAACAAGGAAGAACGCGTTGCTCTCTAGCGCGGCTCTCGTTCCAGAAGCCGAGGTCGACGACGGCGTCAGCGGCTTCTCCAAGGAACGGCAGCCTCGGCCCTGGTCTGCGCCGCGCTCAACTCGGCGACCCTGAGCTGCATCGGGTACGCCCAGGCGAACGCGCGTCCGCGCGCCCTCGCCGAAGCCTTCGACGCCTCCATGCGACTTTACCTCGTCGAGGCCTCTCGCAAGCGCTTCGTCGACGAGCTCCAACTTTCGCTGCAGTGTTGCGGCTGCTACTCGTACGTCGAGTGGTTCCTCTTCGATTGGCAGGTGCGCTTCCGACCTATTTCATTTCGGCCGTTCGTATCTTGGCGGACACGTTGGTCGTCACCGTCGGAGTCCCCTCGGCCCCCCATACCCGGGGCGTCGCGAGTCTCGCTCAAGGACGCGCTTCGACAGAGGGCGGACTACGGGCCGCGCGAGGAGATCTCGCCCCAGCGGAGGATCTCGGACGAGTCGGCCCGACCGCGAGGGGTTCCCTTCAGCTGTTGCAGTCTGGCCAGCACGAGGCCCTGCGCGCCCTGGGCCATGTCGCGGGCGGACCTGGGAACGATCAGTCGCGACGGGTGCGTCTCGCCCCTCGGCCGAGCCCTCCGACGGCGTCTGGCGGTCGCCTACGTCGTCACCGCCGTCGCGCTCCTCGCGCACCTCCAGCTGGCCTTCCTCGCAGCGAGGGTACGTCGATTCGATCCCTTCGGTCTTCCACCTTTTTCGACCCGTCCCGTCTGTATTCTAGATGGCGAGCGGAACTCGACGGGGACGGCGCTGCGGGAGGCTCGAGGTCGAGCAGCAAGGCCCCTCGACGGGGGGTGGGGCGGCTCGAATCGAGCCCAGCGCCCATTCTGAGCATCGGCTCCCGAATAGGAGAGCCCGAGCCGAGGCAGGCCCATGATTGCGGGAGAGAGCGGCGCACTCGGGCGCGCTCGGGTCCGTTCGGGTTCGCTCGGCCGCCGAGAGAGGGCCCCGCGCGCTTGGCATGCCGAGGCGGCTCGGGCCCGGCGTCAGTCTTCGGGCGGCGCTTGGACGGTGCGGTAAGTGGGCGCGAGAGGGAGCGCGGCACGCGCCCGCTGGTCCTCGTCGGCCACGTACGCGTCTGTCGCGTCCGCCCGCGTCTCGCGCGGCGTACCTTCGAGCACCTACGCTCGTGGCAGGTTGACGCCATGACGGCCATCCCGACGCCTCGGCGGCAAACGGTGAGCGGATAAGCGAGACCCGACGCGCGCGAGTGCCCGCCCGGGCCTTCCCAGGTTCGCGCCATGGACGAGCGGCCCCGGGAACCCAGCGGCGCAGCCGCTACCGAGACCCTTCTGAGCAAGTGCGAGGTTCCGATCGTCGATCTCGCTCACGTAGGTAAGCGGGCCCCGGTTCTTCGGCGTCGGCGCCGTGGATCGCGGTCGGATCCGGCCGCGCCCCGCCCTGCTCCGAATCGGCGGGGTCGGGCCAACGACCCGCGTCGGCGACGCCGTGCGACCGCCCGAAAGGGCCACGACTCCCGAGGGAATTCCTGCGTCCGACATTGGATCGGAGTCTTGCCTCGCCGTTGGAGAAGTCGACCGGTCGCCTTCGAGGAAGACGAGGGGGAGAAATGGTTCCGGACTTTCTGCTCTAAAAATATCCCGGGAATGTTTCGTCCCGTTCCTCGAATTCTCTCTAAGTGACGCTCGCGCGCGGTTTGACGTACTCGCGGAAGACTCGAGATACCGTACTCGAGAGAAGAAAAATCGTAACTCCCTGACGAAGGACGCCTCGAAATCGGCGTCCGTGAATTTATAATGAGCTTCCTCCGAGATCGTTCGAGGCATCCGCATAATCGGGAGGCCTTTAACGGGTGCTCGAGCGCGATGCGTTTACGCAAGACCTTGTTCGATCGCGAGGAACGATCGGCGAGCGATTGGCAGGCTCGGTTTACGCCCACAGCGAATCTGGGCCGTATCGGGGAAACGCGAACCGATCCTGTGCAGGTATTACCTCGGCACGCTCGGCGCGACGCGAAGACGACTCTTTCTCTTTCTCTTCCAGGGACGGAGGCGAACCCACAGAAGGGCGTCGTCAAACAGGTCGCCGCTAAACTGGTGCGAGCCCTCTCCGAGAAGGGCCTCGCGCTCCTGGTGAACCATGGTATACCGGAGTGCAAGGTATTACATACATATTCTGGGGGAATCGGGGCCGTCGCTTCTCTTCGTTTCTACCGAGAGGCGCGAGGAAAACGCCAGTGAGGCCGCCGCTCTAATAAGGTCGGTTTCGATTTCAGATGAAAGCCGCATATCGGGTGCTGAACGCGTTCTGCGAGCTACCCGAAGAGGAGCGCGCCAAGTACGCGCAAGTCGGTCCCTGCAACCACGGCTACGTCGAGCCAGGAACGGAGAAGTAAGTTGGCACGTTCTCGTCATCCGAGAAGCCGTTAGAAATCTAATCTACTCCTGTGACAGCGGATCCGCGAGGGAACCGTGCCATGCGTTCGACGTGACCGGGAGCGGCGGGGCCCTGGCCGAGGCCGAGGTGCCAGGGTTCGCGTCGGCGGTCGAGGAGCTCGCTCGAGACTTTAAGCAGCTCTCGCTGACGCTCCTCACGGTAGGTTCTTGCCGTTGTCTCTTTCTCTCTTAAGAGAACGTGAAAGGGTCAATCGTTCGTGAAACTTTTCTCCGAACTGGGTGTGCTGAATCGCTTCGAACTTTTCAACGTGTATATCTAGACCACTAGGAAAGTCCCGTGAAATTTCATTTTTTATAACGAATTTTTAGAATTTCTACATATTTGTAAAAAATTGATTTTTCATGGGTGTCAGGACCTTCCTTATAGCATTCATGTTTACGTTGTGAAGTTTGAAACGATTCGCTGGACCCAGTTCGGAGATAAGTTTCATAAACGAGATACTTTGACGCCAGTTTCGCGTCGCCTTAAGTCGTTTGGTGCCTCGATTCGCTGACTTCCGCTTGTCTGTAGGCTTTGGCCGTGGGATTGGACCAGCCGGCCGACTTCTTGCGGTCGAAGCACTCCGGGGTCCTGGGCCCTGGGAACGAATCGGTCCTCCGGCTGCTCTACTACCCCGCTCCACTCGCCGACCCCGTCCCAGGGGCCGCACGCCGCGAGGCCCGCCGTGACCGAGGAACCCTCACGCTGCTCGCTCAGGTCGGTCCTGGTTATCGACCTCCACTCGTGGAGCTCGCTCCTTCGCTTGGTTCCTAGCTCATTTGTTCCTCTACCGGTTCCAGGATTGCGAGGGCGGACTCGAGGTCCAGAGTCCACACGGCGAGCGGTGGAGTCGCGTCGGACACCTGCCCGGAGCCATCCTGGTTAACACCGGCGACGCGCTGGCTGGGTGGACTAAGGACCGACTTCCGGCTCTTCGTCATCGCCTCGTGGTCCCCGAGCTCCACGGTCGCGGTCGACACTCCATCGCCTTCTTCGTCCATCCTGATGACGACGTCCCTATCGAGCCTTTCGACGCGAAGATCCTCGCCGGCAATCAGGAGTCGGCTCCTTGTCGCCTTCAGAAGAAGAAGAGGGGTGTACTTACCGCCTACCATCACTTGCAACGGCGTTTGAGGGAGACCTATGCGTCGTAACGCGTAATCGCGTTCACGGCGTTGGGTTTTCCCTTATCTTACCTTCTCGTTACTTACTTTCGAAACTTCGTCGGGGTAACGTGTGGATTACGGTACCGATCGTCTAGTGGAATCGACTTCGACGTAACGAGGGATCGGAATGGAGGTCTCGGTTACTGCTAAATACGTTTGTACTTAAATAAGGTATACGTTTCGTTGTATCTTTTTTTTTTTCTTCCTCTTCAACAAAATGCTCAATTACGCCGGTACCGTGTAATGCCGGGTTTCCATGACACACGAACCACGGTCATTAGCGACTCTAGCGTTTATGCCTGCGCGGTTAATCACTACGGTAGAAAGTTCAGATGGATTTACCAGTATTAAACGAAAGGCCGACTAATTGCCGACGGTTGTGCCGTTTTATCTCTACGATGACGTGAACATGACTGAAAAATCAAGCGTGTTTGATCTCTTCACACCTGTTTCGTGGCTCGGTGATCTCGAACGCGAGTTCCACGACTTTTCATACAGAACGTGTACGAAAGCGCGGTTTACGTCCCGTGGGAACCCGGCATCATTAAGTCAAAACGCGCTGTCGCTTCTTCTATCGAAATTTCAGAAACCAGGATCCCACTGGGTTTCCGGCTCCTTCTGGATGATCTTGAAACAGATCAAACGGTCTCCCGGTTGGACCGAGACGTCAGGTTGTTCGAACCTCAGTCCGCATTCCGTGTCGTTTTTAATCGATGCGACTTCTTCTTTGAGGTGTCTCATGGATTCGACTTTGCCTGTGGGGGCGATTAAACGATGAGATGTAGGTAACGCTCGTTCGTTAATTCTTTTCGAGTCATCTTACCTTCGTAGATGACGGTGTCTTTTCCGCGTATCACTCGAAAATTCGCGGTTTTTAGGAGAACGCCCTTCGTGCACCGACATCCCGCGACGTTTACCTTTTTCCGCTTTTCCGTCACGACAAACTGTTGCAAGACGTTGGCTTCGCCTGTTCGGTCGGTCGGTCGGTTAGAGAAATCAAGGAAGTTAAATTATTTGTACACCTGAAACTCGCGACTTGTAGCGCAATTTATCGACGACAGCCGCCTACCTAGTATTTCATCCTTCGTCACCGGTGGAAGTTTGCCGTTAATCTCTTCCTTCAGGTCCTCAATGAGATTGTAAATAACAGTGTGCTCGCGAATGGATACTTTCAGTTCAGTGACGCTGTTCTCCAAGTTCCGCGGAACGGCGACGTTGAAGCAGTAGATTATTGCTGAAAGGTAAGATAAAAAGACAGTCTCTTCTAATTCATCGACCGGGACAACGAGCGATCGTTACCATTGAACGCTTCTGCTAGCTGGACGTCCGACTGAGTGACGTCGCCGATGCCGTGGTGTACCACGTTCAATCGGCATTGCTCCGCGTCGGGGTAAGTGTTCAGGATATCCATAATGGCCTCAACCGAACCGGCGACGTCGCCCTTGATCAGGACGTTCACTTTCGGAGTATCGTCGTCGGGGAGCGATTCCTTCTTCCTTGGGCCTTCTTTCTTCAGCTTAATTACCCCGAGCTTCCGTCTTTTTTCTAGGTTCGCCTTGTACTCCTAACGAGGCCGAAGGAAAGGAGATCAAGGCGAAGAAGGCAAAGTAAGAGCGAATCTTTGCCGGGCCGGGGAACTTTGAATTACCTCGCGGTAATCGACATATTTCAGCTCGGCCGCTTTGTCCTGCTCGATGGCTCGAAGGTTGTCGAGTTGCGCCCGTCGATACGCGACAACCTCGCCGGCTCGCCGCTCGCTCTCCACCTGTAGGATTTCGTCGCCGACGTCGGGGACCACTCGCCATCCGATGACCTCCACGGCCTCGGCCAATCGTGCTTCGCGGACCGGCTTGCCCGCCTCGTCGAACATAGCCCTCACCTTGGCCCAGGCCACGCCGCTCACTGTTGGGCGAAAGAGAAAAGCACTGGTCAGGATATCACTCCTCCACTTTCTCACCTCGAGCGATTTCGTACCAAGAACGGCACCGGGCCTCAGGGTGCCACGTTGTATCAGGACGGTCGCCACCTTTCCGCGGCCGGTTTCGCAGCTTGCTTCGACAACGACCGCTTCCACCAGGCCCGTGGGGTCGCCCGTCAGGTTCATCACTTCTGCCTGCGCGGCTATGCATTCCACCAGAGCGTTCAAATTGACACCTTTCAAAGCTGAAATGTTTACGCTTTGAACGTCGCCTCCTTGGTCCTCCACTTGAATGCCGTTTATGGCCAGCATTTTTTGTGTTCTTCTCTGGAAAAAACGCGTTTCCGTAAGTTCTATTGGTTGATTTCTCGGACAACGATACTTACAATGTCTGCGTTGTGTTTGTCGATTTTGTTGATCGCCACTACGATGGGCACGTTGGCGGACTTGGCCATCTCGATGCTTTGTACAGTTTGCTCCATGACCCCGTCATCGGCCGCTACGACTAGCACTACTATGTCCGTAATGCGTGCACCTCTCGCTCGCATGGCGTTGAACGCGGCGTGGCCAGGAGTGTCCAGGAACGTCATTCTCTCTCCGGTTTCTAGGGTCACTGAAAACATGAATTGTCCTTTTGTCAACTCGTTTTGGCAAAGAAAATTAGCAAAGCCATCCCCCAACTTGTATGACCTAATTGTAGACGGAAGTTTTGAGGCAATTCTCTCGTCTTATTAGTTGTCCTCACGGATTCTTAACAAATTTCGCAACGGCACGGGGACCGTATAAAACTTAAAATTCCCCGTTAGATTAGCGCAAACTCGCACCGTTAAACGCGCCGATGTGTTGAGTAATCCCACCAAATTCGGACAGTACAACAGAGGTCTTTCTTAAAGAATCCAACAACGTCGTTTTACCATGATCGACATGGCCCATAACGGTAACAATTGGGTGACGCTTTATCAGTATCGTAGGGTCCGGTGGCGGACTGTAAAAGAATACGGTGAGGAATGGTTCACTGATTCTGGCCAAAGCACACTGGAATATATTACTATAATATTTTGATAAACTAACCGTTTAACGGCATCAAGATCCTTTTTCTTTGATAACATTGTATCAGGGTTGCTAACACTCCGAGATTTGTATCCCAATTTCTTAACGATTTCTTCCGACACGCGCATGTTAGAGATAATGGTATTTGAATTATAATTGTGCCTATTGGTAGAACAGAAAGATATAGCTGTTAGAACTTCATCGATGCTCCTTTTCGTAGCATGTACCAAATCTGCTATTTTCATATCATTCCAAACATCGATTACAGGTACCACTTTCTTCTCAGGTACTCTAGGAATAAATTGTAACGTCTTAATCCTTTTCTGTAAATAAAACAAGTCTGTTAAGCGTGATTTGTGATTGATCAGACTTTATGCCTTAAAAGCAAAATAATAAAAACCTTTTCTTCGTTGGTTTTTCGTTTTTTATAATTTGGGAGTGTCCTGTGATAATAACGAAACCGCGTATGAGATCCATTGACACATGTGGCAATTTTATACCAGACAGTTGCACTTGTTAAAACAGTAGAAGACTTCCTGTAATGGTGGAGAATGTAAAATATATTTTAAACGGACAAAAGAGGAATTATTAGATGTTTAGAAAATTTTACACTTCAAAACTAAAACCGCAAAAATCCTTTTATCATGTAAGAGAAAAATGGCATACTTTTCTAGTGGCATTTTAATAAGGTTTTTAACGGAGAACATGTGTCTAAGGTTATGTTTCATACGGAGTATACATGTTCATCCAAATACCTACCTTAATTCAATGTACGGTCTTACGAAACGCAATGCTGCATTCATAATTACACCGAACTACATTAAGTATTCAACAACAGTTGATTTCAAACTACATTTGCAATGTGACGGTATATATAAACGTGTACGCAGGGTTCGGTATGTATAATCAAGTATAATACAGTATAATCTGGTATAATACGTCAACTAATATGTACTTGAGCCGCCAACGGCGACTGGTAGATGGTACGTCCCGCTATCGCCCCTATCAGAAATTCGTTGCGCCGCTGTTGGGGGCGAAAAACGGTGAAAGCTAACGTACGAAACCAGAGGGCAGCACAGGATGCGATCGCGTCACCCTGCCCGTGAGCAATCGCCCAACTCATCTCAGAGATGAGTTGGGAGATTGCTCACGGAAGGGATCGTGCGATCACATCCTGTGCTGCCCTCTGGTTTCGTACGTTAGCTTTCACTGTTTTTTGCCCCCAAGGGCGGCACAACGAATTTCTGATATTGAGCTCGCGCACTCGCGATAACGGTACCATCTACCAGTGACCGTTGGCGGCTCACGTACTCGTGACGGTAATACCATGCGGCAGTTGACGGTGGTGCCTTACCTACGCTTACC